AATTATCGTGGTGTGGCTCTACAGTGCATAATTCCAAAGTTGCTTGACTCCATTGTTGCAAAACACCTTAATTACCACATGAAAAATATCATTGATGACAGTCAGGACGGATTCATGAAAGGAATTGAATACATTACTGAGAAAGTGAACTTGCTGCACAAGACTCTGGACAATGCAATTATCAAATTTGTGCCTACGTACATCGTCAAGTCGATACAAAAATGTCCGTGGAAAAACAAATTTCTCATAACTTTGAAAAATAGGAAGAATAAGGCATGGAAACGCTACAGACGATCAGGCTACCATCAGTCGTTTGAATGGAAGTATATTTGGGCGTCCCGTGAATTTGAGAAATTAAACATGGAACTGTACAATACATACGTGGACAAAATGAAATCCTCGCTCAAGCATGATGCATCGAGATTCTGGCAAGTAGTATGAAAAAGCGGGTTTCAGTCCCTTTTCTTAGTATTAGTACACACACACACACACACACACACAAACACACACACACTCCTCTCTCCTCCAATATGATTACGATCAACGTCTCATGTTCGGTTGACATGAAGAAGATAATTTCAGTTAGAATAAACGAAAGCGGATGGCGTTATGTTAATAAATATATTTTATCACTTTACAATGAATACACTTGAAATATGTAACATATTCCCTTCAGCTATAGAAGAAATGGAAAATTTTCGCTGAGTTTTCGATAAAAAAAATTAAGTTAAATTAAATTAAATTTTCTGAAACATCGATCAACTAAGTGAAATCCCCTGTGAATTTTTATTTCATTGATAGAAAGTCGATGTTTCGGGGCAATGACAGAAAAAAACACAAATTGATTTAAATCAACAAGAATTGCATAGAATCGCCTAAAATGGATTAAGATCAATCAAAACTTAGTTAGTCCGTAGTCATTCAAAATGACTGACTATTACCTGATTTTTCAGTATTTTTATTCCAAAATTTGATCAGATTGACACACTGACTCCCAGTGATTGTGAAATCTCACACAAATCGAAGAAGTCATTAGATATGGTATCATCAGATTGTGAAAATTCTCAATCTGACTTCTTAGAAGAGCAAGAGTAAGAAAAATATAGAGAATTAGAAGGGGATGTAACGCATTAAACCATATTCAGAAATGAATTAAGAAAAGGTTGTCGGTTTAACGATTCTGCTAAAAATGATATTTTCTCGTTTTTTTTTAATTCAAAAATTTGGAAAATGTGTTCAAAAATGAATGCCATTAGACTGATATAATATTAATTGTATCGAGCTATATAAGACGATGTTGAATTAAACGATTGTTGACAAAACGTTCGCACGACGATCTGTATTTTGGAATAAGGCACGTATCAAATGACGTACATCTTCTGCACGGAAATGCAATGTAAGCGGTCCCTTGCCACCGGCCCATTGCTCTGCGATTTTTCCCATCGATGCATTCAGTATCATTTTGATTTGTTGCAATTTTACCCAATGCTTCACATAAATTGAAACATCCAATGGATCCTAAGGGTTTAAGAGAGAAAAAAAAATGAGTAAAAAGTAATTTATCCAATCAATGAATGAAATGAGTTGAAAAAAACTGAGAGAGATCCAATTGTCGCATACATTGACGAATAACTTTGTAGGCAGTTGGTCCCAATTCCACCATTGAATCGGTCAAATCTAAAAATATTCAAAAAAATGAATAATTTTCTGATGATTCAAATTACCAAATTCTTTGAGAATATCCATAAGCTGCGAACGTTGATTTGATATTTGCTGAGCGAATCGCTTCGATCGATCCTCTAAAAGACTAGTTATAATGCAGTCACGTCGTTCAATTTGAACAACAATGTCATTCGAATTATTTCCAACATTACTCAGCCACCATGCCAGATACGAACAATTGTTATGAAATAAAGCCGTTTGTTGTGGTATTGTTTGTAAAAATTTTCCATGTGCATCAATTGTTTTGGTTGCATATTTCTCGAGAACCATTGGAATTGTGGCTTGCAAACGCTCCTGAATATCAGTTAAAACATACTCTTCAACCTGCTTTCCAGATAAATCATTTGCTGCTCGCAGCACTTTTTCCATCAAATCAATTAATTCGAATGTAGAACGTGATACCATACATCTGGGAAATGATCCACCATACTTTGATTCTTCAACAATTTGCATTTCATGCAGATCTTTTCGCATAATATCGACAGCACTTTTGACAATATTCAACAAAATCGTTTTTTGAATATAACAATAATAATAATAATAATTCTGCACCATACAGCGTTTCTTCGCCAGAGGTGGTTTATTTGATATAAATATTCTTTTATATATTTACATTATATTATATTGGTTGATTTGCATAAAATTTGTTATTCTCTCCATAATCTATTTCTTTTAAAATATTCATTAATTCTCTGTTT